TACTGTACAGTCTGTTTAAATTTAAGTAAAACGGTTTACAGTATAAAATAATAATAATAATAATGATAATAATAATAATAATAATAATAATAATAATAATAATAATAATAATAATACCTTCTCGGATTTGATGCTTGAAGGCCATCGGTGAGTGGATCTCCCCCGCGTGCATGTTCATCCCGCTGCCCGGGTGGGACAGAGTCGGGCTCTGAGTCTGCCAATGGTGGTGGCCCGGGGCCACGTAGCCCCCTGCTGGGCCACTGTACACCCCGTACTGGTTGCTCGGGGAGTAGGCGCACGCGGAGACGTAGCTGGACAGTGTGGAGGAAGGCTGCACGAGACCAGATAAGACGTGGAACAAAAAAAAAAAGGAAGAAGAAGAAACTTCCTTAAAAACGGTGACATTTGGCCTAAAATGCAAATGATGTTGAGCATTTTTAAACTATAAACACACTGTCGGTCACATCCAGAAAATATGAAATATACTTTTTATGTCTGCCACCAGATTATTTAACTGATGGGCAAAAAAAAATACAAAAAACAATTTTAACAAGAGCAACAATTAACGTTTTAATGTTTGTCCTTCAAATTTTTAAAATCAAATAATGTCATTACATAAAAGTGCACACACATGCTCTGTTCTTAAAGGATATATATTTATTTATTTTTTTATTATTTTTATGTTACCTGAGCATATTTGATGTCGGCGTCAATGGCTGATTTATCAATCCCGTTGACCGCGTGAGGCGCAGGGAAGGCTCTACTGACGCCGCCCCACTCCTCCATCTTTGGTGGATATCCCTCCGCCCCGGCAATAGCTGAACACAAGTTAAAGAAAGTCCAAATTATACAAATATAACAATAAAATAATAACGTTTTTTTAAAATAAGGAAAGAAGGTTTAAAATAATTATAACAATTTTTTTATTAATTTTTTGAGCATTCATATCTCAAAATTTAATTGAATAAAATCGGCCTTTCTAAAATAGTGTTTTCGTGCTTGTGAGGTTCTAAAACAAATGCAACGATTTTTATGGCAATTTGTAAACGCGATTTTGTGGTTGTGAGACTTTATTTGATTTTACAATAAATACAAAAATACAAAAATAAACACGAACAGCTTGTAAAAACTATCCTCTAACTAAAAAATAATAATAACAAAATCGTTCCTATTTATAAAGTCCCACAAATTATCCAATTAATCGCAATCATCAATCATTTCTCCTCACACAGATGTTACATAAATACTGAATCACTTAATCCACTCAGGCGGCGCGACTTCACAGTGGATGAAGGCGCAGAATAAAAGGGGAAATGCGTGTAGCGACTGTTTAAGGTTGGATCTAGCAGGTGAGCAAGGTGTTTGCAAATGCATCATCCCATGAAAAGGCCTATTCAGAGTGACCTTACTGCGTTCTGCCTGAATGGCGAAATGGCAGACGGTGCTGCTTTTAATAGACTGTCGTCCAAACAGATTTAAAGGAGTGAATTAATCAGGCAGAATGACTCAAAGAGCTGCAGCTGTTGGAGTTCATTAGTGGGAGTATTACCTTTTGTGGCGCACAGATCGTAAAAGAGGATTTCCTCACCTGTAGGATCCATGAAGGCTCGTAATCCGAGGATGTTGTTGACTGTGTGTGGAGAAGGCCAAGCCCTGGATATGCTCATATGTCCAGCCGTCACGGGCACCCCAGGGGGGCTGCCCATTTTAGCGCTTGTTGGAGACATAGTGTTTGGGTAGGAGTACGGGTATATGTGGTTGTAGGAGAGCCCGGCCTGCGCCGAGGCTTGTTTGCTGCTTTCATACTGGTTGGGCTGGGAGAGATTTCCAATCTTGTTGCGTAAAATCCTGCTGATGGAGCTCACAGACGGCACGTTGTACTTGTCACAAACCCCGTCAGCCAAAAGCCTGTCCCTGATCTCCCAGGCGAAGATCCCGGGGTCGCTCTGTTTGTATTCCCTGATGTTTTTCACCACGTTTGGCGTCGTGACGCGCGGCTTGCTCCCGCCGATGGCACCGGGCAAGATGGAGCCCGTCTCGTTGTATCTAGCCAGAATCTTGCTCACGCAGCCGTGCGAAACTCGGAGCTGCCGGCTTATGTCGCAGGGTCTGATTCCGATCTGGGCCAGCTCCACGATTCTTAACCGGATGGCGTTGGGCAGGGGTCGCCCGTTGACGAACACACCGCCCAGTTGGTTCACCTCTCCATACGTTTGCTCTGCAGACAGGACACAGAAATGACATATTTGTACCCCCTGGGGGTGAGTTTTGAACAAATATAAGCACATCCTCTGCTTGGGCTGGATTTACGCATGAATCATGTGCGTAAAACAAACCAATGTATTAAATGCTCGCGAGGCGGTGACAGTAATTTACAGCACGGGCTGAGTTCATGCGCACAGACGTGTGCTTAGTAGGCCTGTGCGTGCGTTTTCACGACTGCACAAAAGCGTGCCAACCGTTAAGCTGGCTTTACTCTCCAAAGCGCACAAAAAACACACTATTAAATATGGCGAGCATGAAGAATACACATCAGAGAGCCCTTCAAAGGGAAACTCGCCGTTTAATTGGTGGTGTGGTTCCATTTAAAGCTCCAAACAGGCATTCATTCCTGCTGCTTCAGTGGAGAAAACAATCTATCTTATTTAAAAAATGGCCTTGTCTCCCTGCAACTGAAGCATGCACTCGTTAGGGGCTTACCCATTTGCCTGCACGGTTAGAGATGCTGAGGAATAAAGTTGTCCCTCCAGAACAGCGAAGTAAGAGAAGGAAGAGGGGGACGGAGAGGATCGAGCCCCCCAAGTGCAAGAAAGCACAAAGTGAGCCTCTTTCAGCCTGGTCCGACTGCAGCGGGATCCCCTTCTTATTATCCTGAAGTGAGTGGCTGCTGCGCACAATGGCACCGAAGTGATCTTCATCCGATAAATGCAAATTGGAGTTGTCCCGGGGAGTCCGCAGAATGCTGGAATTAATTTGACGCGTCCTCCACGTCAGTCTCCTCTGCCAGACGCCGAGCCTCCCCTCAGGCTCTCATTGGTGCTCCCGCTGCAGGAGACGCTGCCAGCCAATAGGAAGCTCATCCGGTTGGAGCTGCGCAGCCTTCCTTGCTTATTTTGCATAGGGGGAAGTAGAGAGGGAAACGTTTCAGCCAACATGCAGCCCTCTGGTAAGGACTTCTATACATCATGCCATATAGACTAGAGCAACTTTAAGAAATATGACTTTAAAAAGAAAAAAATGTATTTGCATTGGTTCAATTTTATATGCATGACCCATAAGCTCCTTGTGAGAAACAGAGAATCTGTGGAACTTTTGTCAGCTTTTTCCATAAGTGCATGCATTTATGAGCCGTGTGTGATATTCTAGTTAATACATAATAGAATGTTGTAGTTTGTTTACCGAGTATAAATGATGAATTCACCACGAGGAGATTTGCTTTAATCCTTACAAACAGGCTCATTGATCCATCAGAGCAAAACAAAGTAAAAACGACCAGCCTGAGTCTGTTTTATTAGATTTTATTAGAGCATCAAAGATGGGACTGGGCCTCGTGTAATCGATCCCTCTGTGGATCTCAGACTATAAATATGGCATATCGACTGGATTCCAGAGACGAACCTTATTATCCCAGCATGCTCTCCGAGTTTCCTGTGCAGGTCTAGAAGCAATCGTTTATAAGCTCACAAAACGTTACTTGTAAAACTTAACAGTCGACCCGATGGTAACAAGGTGCAGTCCGCCCCCCCCCCCCCCCCCCTGCCCTCTGCTGCCCTCCATCACACAGATCATGGAGCAGGGCACATGGAAGGTATTAAATAAGGAGCCCAAGAATCCTCCATTTAAAAAAAATGGATATTTAATTTATTGACAAAGTGAGAGTATGGTTGATGAAGCAGGACGGTGGCCTGTGCAGGACACACTGGAGGAAACACCTGTTGTCACCGCTCAGCAGGCTTGATTTTGATGATGTTAGCGGATGATCTTTCAGCTTCTTCCAGTGTTTGTCACCGTCTCTCCCTCTCTGTCTCGTCTGTTTTTCTGAATAGCTTGACTTGCAGGACTCCCCTCATCTGGACAGTTGAGGGACTGCACGATTTTATCAGCACACCTTTGTGAATTTTTGGATTTTGTGCATTTCTTTGCACGCAATGAAGTTTGGGTGTTAAAATTAGGCGCGTTGATGAACTCCATACTTTATTCCCATAAAATATTGCATTTAGTTTATAATTTAAAAAACTTTTTGGCTTATTTATATTTTTCTGTGTAGTGTTCGAGTTGTTAATCATCTTCTGCTTTAGCACCTGCCTAAAACTTTGGAAAACAACATTTGGATGTTTGCGCGCAAAACGCGTTGCGCAGAACAAATGCAGTCTTTTTTTTTTTTTTTTTTACATTATTTTTCTTGTATACACTATTTGAACAATTTACAAAATCCCTTAGATATAACAAATGTTTAGATTCATGGCGGTTGAATAAAAATAAAACAGGTCAGTGAACAGACGCTTTGGAGGCCAAAACGTCTTCGTAAATCGTCTCAAATATCCCGTGGGTCTGATCACAAGAAATGAGCCATTTGAGAATTTCTGAGCCACTTTTTTTGCGACGAGATTTAATTATTAAAAATTATAAATTGTTCTAAAGCCAAAGCGTTTGCGCAGTTACGCGTTCTGTGCGTTTGGTTCGACGCTCCTTCTCATGTGTAACAAAACAAAAGACTTCTGCAGCCGATTTACTTTCACACAATAAGAGCCTGCAGAACTCAGCAGTATAAACACACAGTAAACCCTTTTAGTTTCTAAATTGGTTCAATTCAAAAAACGTTCAATACAAAAAAAAAAAATCTAAATTTTTATTAACCTTGTCATGTGCACCCCTTTGGTTTTACGCATGAGAGAAAAATGCATTTAAAAAAGTGGGATTTGACTTTTAAGTAAACAATTTACCAAAGTAACGTTATAGTTTATGTTTTGCTGCGTTGTTGTCAAACATAGTTTATATCTAGGAATAATTTTCTAAGAATAAATTTCAATTTCCTTTTCACTGGCAATAAATTATGCTTTAAATAGGGGACTGATTTACACATAACCTAAATAAAACACGTTTTACTTGTTTCCAATGACACTTGAGAGCAGTACTTGGAAACAAAATATATATATATTTATTGTAAATAATGTTAAAATAAATCATCTGCTTTGAAGATGTTTCATGTTAAGTGCTGCAGTGAAGGTTCCCACTCAGCTTATTTTGCATTCACTTACTCTTAAATTAGTTTTATTTGTATTTGTTGCCAAATGTTCAAATAAAAAGAGTCTTCAGGTCAAATCTTCCCGTTTAGATCAGGTGAACTCATCCGATCCGCACCTGACACCCGCGAGGTGCGACGACCCCAGACGGTAAATATTGATCTTGGTTTTAAGTGTCATCAAAGGATAAACTTCCTCAAGTGTGCTTTATCTTTAAACTTTTAAGACGAATACAAACGTCTATATTTCCCATTTCTCCCCTGGAAATGACTGAGGGTGAGACGTTGTTTGGACTGGATTAGGACTTTTCATGACGCGTCAGCTCCGCGTTAAAGCTGAACTCCTATGAGGAGCGCGCAAATCTCTCTCCTCTCTGTGGGCCTGCATGGGCCGTATTTAACAAGTTGCATTAAAAGTGAGATACTTTTGTAATAATTTTGTTAATTTCAGATATCATGCATCCAAATTGCCCGGTTTTATGTTTCTTTAAGCTCCTAAATGCAGACTGAAGCTATAATTTTCTTTTTTATTTGGCTGATTTTTATTTTATTTTAGTATGATGTATAATAATCAGACCCTTTTTGAGGGGATATCAAGTTTTTATAGTGCTAAACACACAATTCTTATAATAAATCCACAAGTTTTATAATGCTTCTTTAAAGCCCGTATTGCTTATTGTTTGAAAGGAGAGACAAATATTTATGCTGTTAAAAAGTCAACCAATTTCGACCTGGGTCCCCCTTCCCCAATAAAAAGAAGGTCTGTGCGTTCCTATCTGATGTGGAGGTTCTTTGTGCTCCTGCTGGTGAGATCCTGAGCACCGAGCTCGCTTCTTTTATGGCCACGAGACCCACTCTGAGCTGCAGAACGCGCCTAATGAGGGGGTGCAGCGGTGCCACGTGAGACATGCCAGCTTTTACCAGGCTCCATAATTGCTCGTGACCTTCACTAAACATGTCTCGTGTTTCTTTGTGTTCTGCACGCACTTCTGATCAGTCCACTGGGCGTGCCGTCTGGCGAGTGTGCGCTTTGGATGGAAGGAGTGTGAATTATTTGCTTTGTTTGCAGAAGAGAGGTGTTCCAATTCCAACAATTATCACATCTGATGCAAATCATCACTGTGATTTTTTTTTTGTCTTGATGAAATCACCAGATTTTCAAAGTTTATTTTTTTATATATTTCCGTGTTAAATGTGAATTATTTACACACTCGACATTAAAGCAGCAAAAGAAACACTGATAGAGCTCAATTTAACACAGCAGCTGACATATGCAGTGCTACCTGTCAAAATAATCATTTTAGTTATGAAAATCAAAGATTTACCACCTGGGTGAACTTGATCTGATTTGTGCATATCCCTGAGCACTGGAGCTGTAAATTTTATATTTATGCATAACGTTTATTTAAGTTTCCTGAAATGAATTGCAATTTAATTAATTATGAATAAATAGAAATAGAAATGTAATCATTTCCAAAAAAAATGTGGGTCAAGCAATTAAAACATTTATCCTTTGAATAGAAATGTTAAAATTCAAATATTTGTTGTCAAATTAAGCAAATTCTACACTTATTGTACCAACATATAAGTCAAACTATAAATTAGACTTCTGTATAAATTTGAATTATCAATTGCTGCATAACGTTTTGCTTTCTTTTGGAATAAAATGTTATTACAGCACCATCTATTTCCGTTTGCGTCCGCTCAAATGTCGCCATCAGGACTTGAATCAGAGGGTCAGCAGTCGTTGACGGATCATATCTGAAGCTGAACTAATTGTGAGTCGTCATCGTTCCGGCTGCATCTTAAAGACCTGTTAAAAACACTTCAAATATCTTAATATTAAGAATAACACCATTATATATATATATATATATGTCTTCCTGCTGGAAGTTAATATGAGAAAACTTAGAAAAAGCTCACACAAGCAGAAAAACAACTCAAAGAGGCTGCTGGCATGTGTTAAACATCACCCATCCTCCTTAACTTCACCATGTTGCCAAAGTTTAGGCATAAAGGTGTAAGCCCTTTGCTTCCTTTTAAATAATGTTCCCCATGTCTAGTTACTTCCCGTTTAAAGACTGTAATTTCAAAGCAGAATAGTAATTCCTCCAGATGATGTGAAGCAGGTGCTTTAAATCATAATGCTTTTAATTCAGATGGTGCATATTAGTTTTAAAGAGCGTAAACACCGTCTTAGTTACAGACAAATGTAATCTTTTATAAAGTGCTATAAGCGATAATGATAGTGACGATAAAGATCAAAGTTGTGCTCGGATCCGTTTAATTCAGCAACCCTCTCATAAGAAAAATCTAAAACATACATTCTGATACACATCACTCTGAAGAGAAACATATTTTGATAGGATTTACTCAAGATGCATAAACAAATGCATCTGTTTCTATATGAAAATAAAGTTTATTGTTACTAATTTTGGTTATTTTGAATGAATTCAGTTTAGTGACGTCTTCGTGGTTTTATTTATTTTTTTTACTTTTCTCCTACCATAAAAGGTGCCAGGTTATATATATTTAAGAGTCTTTTGATTCAAATGAACTGCTTTAAGGTGAAAATGTGTGAAAACATGATGAAGAGCACCCTCTTTGACCATTAGAGGAACAAACCTGCAGTTAAAAAACATGATAAAAAAACTTCTATTTGTCACTCTATGTATTAAAAAAAATGACACTAAATAGATAAAAAAAAAAAAAAACAT